CGTTCTGTCCCCCTGCCATGGGCAGGGACACCTTCCCAGGTGCTCCAGGTTGCTCCAAGCCCCGTCCGACCTGGTCTTGGACACTTCCAGGGATGGGGCAGCCACAGCTTCTCTGGGTAACCCTCTCCCCCACCCCTTTCTTTCTCGTGCCTGGTGTGAACAGTCCATATCCTGCCAGGCAGCTCCAGCCTGTTCCCCTGATCAGTCCCGTGCCGACGCATCGCGTGCTGTGTCGAGCTCAGCCGAGCTCCTCCAGGAGATGCCCCACACTGACACAGACAGCAAGTGCCAGCCAGCCCCGCTCCCTCGGCACTTTTCCAGGTCCCAGGCTGGCTCAGCACAAAGTCAGCTCTGTGTAGAACACAACCTCAGCTTTGAAGCTGGCTGGCTGTGGCATCCCACCGCTGGCACACAGGATGCCAGCCTTGTCCCACAGCCAAAATTACTCAGTGTTTTCTGTCTGTAAAATTATTTCAATCCACTGGATACATCGGCTTCTGTCTGATTTCTTGAGTAGATTTCATTTTCTCCAGGCAAGGCATTTTCTCAAGCCTGAAAACTCTTCATGCGTTTTGTTTTTTTTTTTTAATTTATTTTTCATGTTGTTTTTTCCTCATCTTCCTATTTTTTAGTGGAGGAAGGGGATGCATTCACATTTGTAGACAACATCCTGATGTGGCATTGCCCTTTCTCCCCTCACACATGGAAAACATTGGCAGAAATCCCAGTGGGTCCAGGTAACTTCCAAAACCAATAGGGCAGATAGGACATTGTTCCCCCAGCACTGCCAAAGCCACCACTAAACCATGTCCCCAAGTGCCATCTCTGTTAAATCCCTCCAGGGATGGTGACTCCACAGCCTGTTCCAGGGTTTGACAACCCTTTCCATGGAGAAATATTCCCTAACATCCAATCTAAATCTCCCCTGGTGCAGCCAGCCAACATCATGCCTGGTACTGGTCCCACCACAGCTCATTCCAGCATCAGAATTTCTCCTAAAAGCAATAGGTTTGTCCTAGGAGAGCTCCCAGTGTTCTCATGCACAGTGTGCTACTGCTCTCTGGCTCTATATTTAAGATTAGCCTGACATGTCTGTGTATTTAATTTATAATTTTGGCTTGGGAAAAATTAGTCTGTCTTTACATGGAGCTATTGTAACGCTGAGACACAGATGGCTAATTATCAAAATGTCTAAGAGCATCTTTGTAGAAGTCCTAAGGCAAAAGAAAAAAAAAAAAAAATACTTTTGACAAGCATTATTTGCTGAAACAAATTCCATTTAATTAAGACGTGAAGTCTGGAGCGAAAGACAGCCCAGCTTGTCAACAATATTAACTGCAGCAGACACTGCTAGAGGTTATGCTTTGCATTAAGGCTAAATGGTAAAGGACAGGAGCTTTGTAAAGAATTCCTCGAGTTTCCCTGTATAACAAAGCTGAGCTGGTTAATTGTCTTGAACAATATTTTACTTTAGAAGCTCAAATCAATGCAGATGAAAACCCCCAGTGTGACAGCTTTGGAGGCTGAAATCCTGTCTGTCCCCTAAAAACTCCTTTCAGCAGCACAGGCTGTCCTCTGTGCCCTGCCCCAAGGTCTGCAGGGCCCTGAGCCCCCACAGTGGTGCATGTGGGAGCACAGGGGCTGTGTCAGCAGGACCATCACCACTCTTGAGTGCTTCTCATGCCAGGCTGAGGGTTAGAAACCCATCCCTCCTTTAAGCACATCAGCAGAAACCGTGGCTTCCTCCCAGGGATGTGCAGGTTGCTGTTCCCCGAGCGCCAAGCCAGGCTCGTTAGTCGTGGAGGGGGTGTGGGCAGAGCCAGCAGCTCAAGGTCTGCACTGTCCCATATGGCAGGAAAATTATTCAAGGAGAAATTATGCAGATAGTCAACATGTTCAAGCTGCAATGAATTATGCTGAAAACATCAGCACAAGTAGCAGTTGATTTGTGTTACGGTCAACGGCTGCGGTTCCCTTGTTTTCTCCTGTTGGAGGCCCCAGGGGCTGGGGGGTGTCAGGGATGCTCCAGTAAACCCCCTAAAGCTACAGCTCCTGCACTGGGGTGTGACAGCACTTGGAAGTAGCAGGGGAAAAGGGTTTAGTAGTAACAGCCATCATGCAAGAGACACAACACTTCATCCACTGGCAGCTCGTCCCTGAGTCTCTGGGAAGTACCAGAGGGCAAGTGTGGGAGGAATAAGAGCAGCAGAGAAGGTGCTGGGTTTAATTCCTGCAGTTTCTGCTACAGGCTGACCCCCAACAGAGGACCAGGGGGAATGGCTTCCAATTAACAGAGGACAGGGTTAGGCTGGATATTAGAAAGAAAGTCTTCCCTGTGAGGGTGGTGTGTCAAACATCCCTTCAAAGCATCACCAAAGCAGGAGGGAGGCTGACAGAGTCGTCACACAACATCAGGTAATGATACAGAATCATCTTGTGTTTATTTAAATCCTTCCAGCAATAAAAGCAAACCCACTGGCTGTGGTTTGAAGCGTTTCTTAAAGTCAGCCAAACAAATCCCTGAGTTACCATCTGCAACAAACAGAAAACAGACTTGCTATTAAGCCAGGCCGTAAATATCATTTAAAAGCAAAGCTGACCAATAAATTAGGGGCTGTGGTGGCAACAGTGTTAATGCAAGCTGGGAAGGAGAGGCTCACTAGGGGCAAATAATGTATTTGTGGAGGATAGAGGCAGCTGATGGAGGCTGGTTGTGCAGCACATACTGCTCATAAACCCTTCAGAGCACTGCCAAGAACCTCACCATTGACGGGCAAGTGACAGCCAGGAAGATTTACACTCCCTTTCACACCTCCTTAGGAAGGCTGGGAGGGTCTAGAACATGTTGTGAGTCTGCTGAAAACTCAGTGTCAAAAAAAGCTGTGGGTGACCCAGCCCCAGGTCCAGGCTGCCGGTCCCCAGACCGTCAGTAAAGTGAATATGGCATCTCCTGGACTTTGCTGTCCTTTCACCTCAGAGGGAAAATTATTTGCTCAATGAAATTTAGGAATGGCTGTAGCTGTTCTGGAGCTGGGAGCTGAAGGAGCACAGGAGTTCTGGCCCCAAGGGGGGAACGGGGGGTCCAACCCTGCATGAGGCAAGAGGGGGCCCTGAAGCCACATCAGTCACTGGGCAGGGTCACTGTATCCCAAAGGTGATCCATAGGCACCCCAGGACAGGAAAACTGGTTCCACTTCAGCAGAGTGAGTGTCACTACAGTGCTGTGATACATGAACATGTGAAAAGAAGCGATAAAAAATAAGGAAAGTTTAGTAGAGAATTTACAGAATTTAGTAGAATTTACCATGCTGTCAACTCCAGCAATATTGGCATTTCAATTCATTAAAAGTCCAGACAAATTAGATGTTTGTATTCATTTAAAATAATTTCTCCTCTTTGACCCAGCTTAATTTATCATATTACGTCTTTCTGCAGCACTTGGGAGAGCTGCTGTTTGAATGAACCCAAAGGAATGTATGAGGGAAATATTAAGTAGTTGTCATTAACAGCAGGGTCCATTAAAACCCAGCACCACAGCTTCCCTACAGCTATTTTTGCCAAGCCAAACACAAACTATTCTCCTACAGATGTAGCATTTGTGTTTCTTGCTGTATTAAAGCCGAGACACCTTGTGACAGTGTTTTCATGAATAACACATGTGTCTCAGGATTTGTATAGCAGTCACTGCAAAGTAAAAGCAGCAGCAGAGGGGAAATCCCTCACCTCAATATAAACTAATTCTTAGTCAAATAATATTTACTCTCTTTTTCCTAATAAAAACCTCCCATGTTTCTGCCATTTTGTACCTGTATTTTTGGATTTTTATTTTTATGAATAGCTACATTTTGATGGTGAAAAGAGGCTGAATAATCAACAAGCATCTACCCAAACATTCATATCTTCAATTTTGGAAAGGAGGGGTTTTTTACATCAGACCTGAGTCTCCTCTGACAAGTCCAACACAGATTAGCATTTATGCACTCACTCAGAGTTACAGGTAACCCACGAGTAAGCTTCTCTCATAACTGCATTATTCATTTCTCCATCATCAGAAATAGATAGTGTCAATGAAGGCTACATAAATTATATTTGTCCAGCAGGCTTAAACAAAGAAGGCATCCTGCCAAGGGTTTGGTATCTTGTTTTTAAACAACATGTATTAATGGGGTTGTCAGGTGGGCAGAGGATAAGGAAAAGATACAGGACTTCCACAAGATCTGGAGCAAATCAAGGACAGAATGGAATAAACTGGTGAAGGCAATACAAATCTTAACTACAGCTAACATCACCTCAAAAGATCCTCTCCAGGATGCTCCTCTGGTAGGTGCCAGCAATTGCTATAGTTTACTAATAGAGCACACACACATATGGATCCTGCACTGGGAAATGGTGTGGATGGGTGGATGGAGAGAGAAAGACAGACAGACAGACAGATAGAAAGATAATCAAGTGGTTCTCTGAAGATGACATGAATTTTCATTACATTTAGTAGACAGGACATGGAATGCAGCAAAGGATGTTCTTTCCTCTATTTTTCCCACAGCACCAAAGTCTGTGGTGTGGAATTTCTGCTGTTTCAGCCCTTCCTTGTTAAAAGCTTTTTACAGAAGACTTAATTTAAATGTACACTTGTGCTGCTCCTGCTTTCCCAGGTGAGCAGGTTGACTGGTAATGTCACAACCACCTTCTGTCGACTGTCTGGGGTGTTCAGGGGGATCTTTCCATGTGGCCTGATTTGATTTCTGCCTGAAATCCACGCTCCTTCCTTTGGGTGACATCCAGAAAACACCTGTGATTTTTCATTTTGAAATAGTCTTTGCAGCTTGCTGCCTGCTGGCTGGAGAGCCAAGACATCCCTGGGGACATGAGTGACATCAGCAGGAGCCATTTGTCACAGTGACTCAGAACATTACAGGGTAAGACGTGCATATCATCGTTACAACAGGAGGGCTCTCTTGTTCTCCACATCAAGCAAGTGGGACTTTCTGTCCCAAACCCTCTCACCCCATGCTGAGCATTCTTTGAGGAGCAACCCCAAATGATGGACTCAGCCTCCTTCACCCCAACCCAAGAGCCTGCAAGGCTCAGGTCAACAAGACTCAGCATCCAAATTGCTGAAAGCAGGAGAGGTGGCACTTTTTCGGTCTTGGAAGCAGAATAGTCTGTTGTGTGGAGAATTAGTTAAATACCAGTAAATAAACACTGTTATAGCCATCAGCTAAGCCTACAAAGGCGGGACTCTGCTTGGAGCACCCCTGTTTGTCCTGTGCTGCAACACCTCTGGCAGAAGATGAACCCTGTAGGAAGGGGCACGGTAGAGATGTCACAGCTGGACTGTGCCAGGTGGGCAGGCAGAAGGACAGGCACGCACAGGAAAATATCTGTAATTGAAAGCCCCAGCTCAGTGAGTTCTCCCTGGTAAGGCTATTGCAGCCCATCTCTAGACAGGTCTGGGTGTGAGCAGAAGTTTCTCTTCATGTTCAGTAGCAGCTCAGAGCTCAGAAAGAAACCTCTGCCATACTGCCTTGTAATATAATCATACATGTGTAATATCTGAAGATCAAGACCATCTCTCCATTAAATTAGATAACAAATAATTAGATAATTTTAATTTACTCTATGAATCTTCTAGAGAGTAAACTGCTTACAGGCAGCTAATGCAATAAACTTACTTTATAAGCAGAGAGCAGCATCTGTTACCACGAGGAGTCTGCAGCACACATTAGGATTCTGGGCACACTCAGCCATAGTTAGAGTAAATGTATCATTAAGTTGGTATCCTTTCCTATTCAAAGCACACTTTTCAAGATTTATGTACTGCAGACAATGAGATAGCAGGAGAATCAACTTGTGCTCAACTCTTCTTGCTTTCAGCCCCTGTCCCATGGCAAGATAACGTTAATAAAAAGGGTAAGACAGAGCATGGAAGTCAGGTCACTTCTATATATGGGAAATACAACCCCAGCCCCACACACACCCAAAGGCACAGCAAAACAGAAGCTGTGCTGAAAGAGTACCTTTAAGGTCACAAAATCAAGCCTTAAAAAATCAAACCACTTCATCAAACAGCCTTCCTCCCATACACACACAATTGCAGGGAGCATCCCAGGCCTGCAAGCAAAACCATGAGTTATATGACTTCTAAAAGTTCTTAAATATCTCAGCTGAGTGTGTGCAAACTGCACTTTTTCCAAAGGTTTGCAAACTCAACAAACTGAGCAAATAGAAGTGACAGGAAGGGTTGTTATTTGTAAACAATCTACTGTACCATGGTTGTGACACGTTTATTCCAGATCCAAGGGGTGCTATGAAAGATCAACAACTATATTTTCAGCTGGGCTAAGCACTGTATTTACAGGGCACATGTCAAACCAAACACTTAACCTTTTTCAAAGCTGCAACTACACCCCATTTTCAACAGTGACCAGTGATTTCTTAGATGCCCTCACTGTTTGAATGGGGAAGAAGCCTGTTTTTTGGAGGATGGGTGCCTTATTGCCATCGACACAGCTTGCCTGGATTTCTAACTGAACTGGCAGCACAATATAAAAATAAAACCAAACCAGCCGAGCAATGCTATTGTGCATCTTAGCAGTAATAGAAAACCACATTGTCCCTTCAGGCAGATGAGCACAGCACTGAAGATATCTCCTAATGTCATTTATGTGAAAGTTGCATTTTTATTATAAATTAATCTACCATGTCAGTCACACATGCAACCCCCGTCCATGGTCATCACACACGCCAAGAAAATGAGCCTTGCTTGCTTCTCCATTTTGCAGCTGCTGACTTGCCCTGTTTGAGGGGAACTCAGCAAGGTAGGATTAATGGGCAAGGGTCTGGTAATAAGCAGAATTTATCTGTCTTAGTGGGAAAGAGGGACAGCCCCTGGCAGGAGCACAGGGCTGCATCATCCGTGTGCTTGCTGTGGGTGAAACCACTGGAATGTCCATGGCAGGTTAGTTGGGAAGTAAGACTATTGTATCTGTGCTTTCACTTGCCATCATGGGCTCTTATAATCCCCCTTTTCTTCTTTTTAGAGTCTGAGGCAAGTCCCAGTGAGAGTCACTGAGTGTATGGATGGTTTGTGTCAACGCCTTCAGCTTTGTACCAACACCTTCCCTGCAAAAAGATTAAAGGTTTTGGGAAGAATGAACTTGAACATCATGAAGCAAAGCTAAATAAATCAACACAGGGGTCTCACCACAGTCACCTACACAACAAAGTCCCCTGTATGTGGTGGAAGAATCCAGCGGGCAGTTGATTTACCCTTCAAGACAGAACTACTAGAGAGCAACCCTCTGTGCCAAGCTCCAGAGAAGATGCAATCCAAGTTCTCTGGCTGCTGGAAGGTGTCACTTGCTCTGTGTAAGGACAGAGTCGGTGACATGATGAATGATCATGACAGTGCTGGTACAAGGCCACTCTGAATTGCTCTACACCAGCACTGGAGCTGACTGTGGAGCACAGGGGCCAGGGGAGCAGAAAATATTCCACTGAAATCTTGGAAGCTGTAGCCCTGATTATGGACCAGGGCCCTTGGTTATATTCAGTGCTATACTCAGCGATGAACTATAAAAAGCCTCTTTTTCTGCCTTCTAATGATTATTCCAAGCTAGACTAGAAGGTAGCCAAAATTCCTGGGGCTTTCAGCATCAAGGAGCCAATCCCTGCATATTCCTTCTCTTTGCCCAGTGGATGGGAAGAGCCTGTGGTGTCCTGTGTCCTTCTCCAGGCAGGTACCCAGAGAAGCAGGTGGAGGAACTGTACACAAATCACTTTGACAATTCACTTTGACTCTGACCATGAGTTTTCAAAGTAAAATTCAACTCACGTCTCAGCGGGGACTCAAGGTCAGTGTTTGTCAACATGCTTTATATAGGAAAGAGGCTATTTTTAATCTCATTGTTCTTCTGGTCCCAAAAATCTTAGAATCATGGAATGGTTTGGGTTGGAAGGGATCTCGAAGATCATCTCATTCCAGCTTTCAGCCTTATGAGGCATTAAGAACAATGTATATGATTCCTGTATGTGCAGAAAACCCTGTTTGAGCTGCTCTGTGGGGGAAGGAGGGAGCAGCTCAAGATGCACTGAAAATCTGATAACTGGATTAGGCACAAGAAAGCATTTCCTGAGGGGGAAGAATCCACATCTTTCCTACTGAGAAAGATTTCTAAACCAATCTCATTTATCATGCATTCATTTGTTGAGTAAATATTCATAATATATAAGTGCTGGTGTCACTTTAATATTCTGATTAGCATGGTACATCGTTTCCTCTGTCTGGATAATGGTGAAAGTCATGCTAATCGAAGTAATGTTGTGTGTCAAATGATACAGAGCTGATTTACTTAAGACTTGGATGTCTGCTCCAATTAACTTCCAAAGCAAATTGCACTGAAGTTCCTTTTTCTGTCTTTTATGAAATAGGATACATAAAAAGTATGAGTTACAGAGCAAGTCTGCCAAAGTTCTCTCGTATTACCTCCTGACACATCCACTGACATTCAGCCAGTTCCAAAGCAGAGAGAAGCCTGCAAAACTCATAAGAGTTATCCCCTGCTCCTGCAATAAATTCATATCTATTTGCAAACACAAGCTCAGTGAGCTGCCTAGTTCACATCTCAGGCTTTTCTGGGCACTGCACAGCTGGTACAGCAGCAGCCCTTGGAGAGAGAAAGAAACTGTACGTGGAATAAAGAATGTGAGAGATATAAAGTCCATATGGCTCAGTGAAATCAGATCATTGTGTCTAAATTGCTTCTTTAACTGTTGTTGGATGTGTTTATAATCTACTTTTACAAGGCACACAAAAAAGCATCACTCAGTTGGGTTACCATTGAAAGCCTGACCTTATTAACAGCCCCTGTATCTTGTCATGTGCACTAACACATTACTGCAATATATTGTGCTGCTCCAATATTTTTGCACTTCAGAAGTGCATTTGAAAAGTAGTTTACATGACAATCAAGCACGCAGTTCAGGCCAAGTGAATGGAATGAATAATGAAGTACAAGGAAACAGTAGCTGGGCACAGTGAAAACAGAATTATTTTGGCCACATCGGTTTCGAACGAATTGAAGTCAAACCAAATATTCAATGGTTGCAAAGATATTACTTGAGAATAAGGCAGGGGAAGCACGAAAGACTGGAATCGCAGTTAATTTGATTTCTGAACAGCAAAATTACCAGTTCAGTTGCCAGCACACTGCTCGTATCTCAAATCCATAAAAATTAACTGTAGGAAACCTTATTCAGGCTCTGACTCAAAACACAGCCCAGGCTGTAACTCCACACTCAAACCTAAATCCACTCACACTCGAACCACACGAGCTCCAAAACACTGAGCACTTGTTCACAGTGCAGTGATTTTTCAGGTGAATTTAGATACAGGTTTCAGCACTTTGCTGAGTCAGCTCTTAGCAGCTCTCCTGGCCTTGCCCAGTCTGTAGTGTCAGATCCCAGGGAAGGGTTTGTGCAGGATCTACAATGTCTAAGAGCAAAGAGGGGATGAGGGGGTGCAGGTCCCTGGATCCTGAGGGGCTCAGCTGAGGACCACCACCCCCACCATGCCCACAGCCCCTCCTGCTGCTGCCCAGCTGCTCCTCAGCGTTTAGTGCCACTTTAAATTCTCCTGGTGAACCAGAAGCACCTGAGAAGGAACAAGTAAATATTTAATCTACCGTCTGAGTTTTAACAGGTAGTTCTGGGGAGAGCTATTGAATTTTTATTGGGAGAGATGATTTGTGCTCGGAATATTAGAACATGGTGCTCACTCAGGGATGTTCAGAGCAGCAAACTCTCCCTAGAAATACTTGAATTACCAACATTTCAGCTGGGTTTTTAATGACTCTTCCTAAAGTGAGGGGACTTTATCAGTATTCATGGAACGGGCCGGCGGGGGAAGCTGCGGTCGGATCAGTGCCTTTTCAAAGCCAGGACTGAAGTTGATTTGCACCATTCAGTCACCAACAGCAATACCAAATGCAGGCTAATCAATAGTGGCTGACAGCTCTGGAATAGCTCTGGTGATGCAGACGTGCACCCACGGGCCACGGGCTCTGTCGGAGCATCGGCCACGCAGGACCCGCGGTCCCGCCCGCTCAGCTCCAGCCACAGCGCCCGGGAAGGGCAGAGGAGAAGAGACTCGAGCCTGAACTTCCTTATTTTTAATTAAGTCAGTTCCTCGGGTTACCTTAATTGAGCAATTTGTATTTAATTTCCTGTTCGGGGGGGAGGAAGGATCGGGAGGAACAGATGTTGCCCCCTGCAGTCTGCAGAACACAGAGAGCCGTGAAAACTCATCCGTCCACCTGATTGCTTTTTTATTAAGTGGCACAGATGCTGGGAAGGTGGCAAGTACTGAGGTATGTCAAAACATTAACTTCTGCTTTGGAGGTTTTTTTCCCCCACCATTCTGCTTTGAATTAGCTAGTAAAAAATAAGATGGAAAAGAAGGTAGTAAACCTGCTTTCTCTCTTCCAACCTTTGAATACACAACAAACATCTGGTTTTGTCTTTTTTTTTTTTTTTTTTCTAAGAGAGGAGTGCAACTAGGGACTTTTTGCAATAACACACTGATTTTTCTAAAGGATGTTTGGGCAAAGGCTTATTTATGTACTTCATTGGTTTTTCTGTTTCTTGTAGAAGTTCAAAGTCATAACAGCTAAAAAAGGTGCAGGACTGATTTAATACAGGCTGACATAAATGCAAGTTTTGGCCACGCTATTCGAACACTTGTCAAATGGTGTAGCATTGTGATGTATCCTCTGTGCAGCTTGGGAGGGGTTGCAAATGCACAGATTGCCTTGGGTTGCAAAGCAGAAAGAACAGGCTCGATTTTGCACAAAATGGGGCAGGGAGGGAGGAAGGAGAAGGGAAATTCTTCAGATCTTGGAAGAATTTTTTCAGAATTGTCCAACACATTAATAGATTCAAAACATGTAAAATTCTGTAGCAGCAGGTATGGAGGTTACCTGGGGAATGGCCTCTCCTGAACATGAAAATATATTGATCCATCTCCAGAGTTCTCTGGTTGTGGCCAAGTTGCAAGTCCAGTCACTGTGAAAGGAGGGGAGCTGAGATCCTGAAGGCTGAGTCTAAAGGGAACACTGAGGGCTGATCCTGAAGCAAAGCCTGGGCCATCATTTTGGTGTGGCTAAAATCAAATTAGGTAGAGACCCTCAGGATCACACAATTATGGAATCATTTAGGTTGGAAAAGACCTTTAAGATCATCAAGTCCAACCATTAAGATCTCTTGACTGAACCATTTACACTGAGAAATAATCTGACTATTTCTGCTGCACTTTTCCAGCAGGAGGACATGTCAACCCTACACCTTGTCTGTGTAAAGATCTTTTTATCTGCTTGGATTTAACCAGTCTGAGAGCAGAGTGAGCTACACTTACCCCCGCTCCAGGGGCTCAGGGATGCTCAGAGCCAGAGGTTTGCAGTGGATTTGTTGGTGGGAGAGAGGAGAACACATTGGAGGAGCAGGCTGCAGGCATTAATGGGAAGGAGAAAAGTCATAACCTTGCCCCGGGAAAGTGTGCAAGCACCACATTTTTAGGGAAGAGATCACTCTGCTGGAAGAAATGACATTGTTTTCTTCAATAAAAGAATGTATTTCAAATTACTAAAATATGTGAACCATTCTTCTATATCCCACTAGCTCCAAACCATAAAAATTTACAGCTGAAGCCAACTCTGCGTGGAGCTGAGGCTGGTAAAGGAGACTAGACCATGACTTGTTATGTAAATAAGCCCATAAAAGTCTTGAGATTTTACGTGAAAATCAGACCTGCAGCAGCCATTCTGCCTTAGCTCTGTGGATTGTTTAATTTGTATGTACACGATTATGCAGTGTTATTATACAGAGAAGGCAGTTTACAAACCTTTAAGTGATCAATCAGTTAAATAAATAAAGCCTCTCTGGTGATGCCATTTTAGGAAGCGCCTCGGCCTCCTGTCATTAACATAATCAGCTTGAATAATGTTTTCCCAGCAATTACCACCGGCGGGTCAATGCCTGCTATTAGCAACCTTTCCTCCATGGATCGTGAGCACAATAAAGTGTGACAGCCCCAGAAGACACCGGGTGTCAAAAGACTTTCTCTGGCATCAGTGCCAGACTCCTTTAATGTGGCACATACAGGGACAGTAGATTGTCAAGGATCACTCAATGCAACAACAATTTACTGTCTCAGTGGGAGTTTTCTTGTTTCGAGAAGTTCAGCGAGTGTTATA